TAGTGCAGCAGATTACTGAAAAAAAACAAACATTCACTTTGGTATAAAAGCATGAAATTTGGCACAGATACTCTCTAAGGGCCACTATTTTGGAAAAAAGAGTTGGCCACTCAAAAATTCTATATGGCGGCCATAATGGTTATTATATAAATTATTCAAAAGTGATCCAAGCATAACATTTGATATAAATACTCTCTAAAGGACATGATCACGGAAAAAGATGCTTGTCACAAATTGAAGATGGCCACTGTTCATGTAGAATATTCATTATTTCAATTTGTGGCCATACCGCCGTGTCAAAGCCTGATCCAATCACATCTCTGAAGCTAAGCGAGGCTGGGTCTGGTTAGTACTTGGATGGGAGACCACTGGGAAAATCAGGTGCCACAGGGGGGAGCCAGTTGTAAAAAAAAAAAAAAAAAAAAAAAAAACTGTTTACATTGTGTCCTTAGGCAAGGCACTTCACCCACATTGCCTAGTATGAAAGCGGTGTGTGCGTGAGTGATAGTGGTGGTCAGAGGGACCAATGGTGCCGATTAGCATGGCAGCTGTGCCTCTGTCAGTCTGCCCCATGGCAGCTGTGGCTACAACAGCAGCTTATCACCACTGAGTATGGAGTGACTGAATAATGATCTGTAAAGTGTCCTTGTGACAAATGTCTGTGGAAAGTGCTATTAAAAAAAAAAAAAAAAAAACGTACTAATTGTTCAGATGGTGATGCAAAGAAATACTTTTCCTTCTCAAAGTAGCTTCTGTACCACCACTTTCATCGAGTTGTTCCAGGTCCAGGGTCATTGGCATATTGTTGATCTTGTGAAAGAGTGGAATGTTGGTGGGAATCATTTTATACCCATCATGTTCAGAAACATGATGGTAGATGGTGATTGGAGAGCTCTTTGTGTCTTTCTGACACATTTGTACAGTATGATTAAGGCCGAGAGTTTATTCTTCTACCACCTCAATCACAGACATAGTACACATTTATGTTTAGGATACAACTAGGTTCAGGTCACCTACACCTCACCCAATCATTCATCCAGTGTCATTCAAGTCCCGTGTGGTCTGTACACCTTCCGGGTAAGCACACATGAACAAGGCATGTATTGCCCCACTTACCCTTGGTTCGGTTCTTCCACAATGGCACGACCTGTCAATTCAGCTCATCTAACTCAGAGTCCTGCACTGGATACCCAACGGGTACACACAAACAGTTGCTGAAACGGGCAGGTTTTAATGTTCTGGAATTTTATGGGAGGGTATGTGGACAGGTAGTGATTACACACGGCCAGGTCAGGTGAATCAAATGATAGATGAACAGCAGAAAAATACGTGACCAGGGCGTACGTTGCCATGGAAACAAGTGTCATTTCCCATCTTTTCCCAGAACAACGACAGACCAGGCTGAGACAGACTTTAGAGTTTTTCTTACATAAAACTATCAGCACTCCTGGTTCAGTCCTGGTTTAGTCCTGGTTTAGTCCTGGTTTAGACCTCGTCCAGTCCTGATGTAGTCCTGGCAATCAGCTCGGCAGTTGCGGCGTTTATATATGCTAATGACACTGGTTTAGTCCTGTTTTAGATCTGGTTAAGTCCTGGTTTAGACTTGGTTCAGTTCTGGTTCAGTCCTGGTTTAGTACTGGTTCAGTTCTGGTCCAGTCCTGGTGTAGTTCTGGCGATCAGGTCTGCAGTTGCGGTGTCTATATATTTATAATCCACTAATGACACGGTGTAGGTTCAGTCCTGGTTTAGTCCTTGTTTAGTCCTGGTTCAGTCCTGGTTCAGTCCTGGTTTAGTCCTGGTTCAGTCCTGGACTACTTGCCTGTTAGACTAATGGACTGACCCCAATTTATCATGGGCACGGGCAGGTAACAGGTGGAATATTAACGGGTCCGGGCAGGAGCAGATTTAACTTTAAAATAATCACTGGTTAACTGGTGGGTGTGGTGCTCTATTGCATGGGTGCGAGTGAGTGCGGGTCTCCAAAAATGGACCAGTGCAGGACTAAAAATGGTGGCCATCTTGAATTTTTCAATGGCACACACCTTTTTCCATGAGAATGTTCCTTGAACAATTGTACCAGTCTTGATGACAGCATCACCATTTGATCAGCTGACATAAGGATTTAAAAGAAATGGTGGCCATCTTGAAAAATGCCGGTGGCATCTCAACCATCAAGCACCATTCTCCAAAAAAAAAAAAAAAAATTCTTAACAGAGTATTCTCACAAAAAAAATAAATAAATAAAATCACTCAACATAATGAACATTTGACAGAAATAGTGACCATCTTTCATTTTGAATTTTTGAGTGGCCGATGCCTTTTTCCTAAAAAGTGACCCTTAGAGAGTATCTGTGCCAAATTTCATGCTTTTATACCAAAGTGAACGATTTTCTTGAAATATGCAATTCATCTGCTGCACTATATATACACCTGAATTACTGAGCTATGGTCACTGTTCATCTCAACTCTGGAAAAAATAAAAACTTCAAATAGCCAAATATACCATGAAACTATACTAAAACGGTTGTGAATTCAAGTTGTGCAGATTTTCTTTTGCAGTGGAGCATGAAACTATATTTCTCCTTCTAAGCCCTATCCTCCTTATAATGCATTTGTCCAGTGGCAGCAGATCAGACCAGATGAGCCACACATTGTGTTATGCTCAACAGCATGTTAGAAAATGGACCAACCTGTGCTGTGTCCCTGAGAACAGACACATGAGGCTCATCCTGGCTGCTCTGGAGCAGGTCCTGGGCACTCGAGAAATAGAGGCCCAGATCTACCACACCAGACAAGACCCACGGTGTAGACTGTGCAAAGAGGCTCCTGAGACAGTCCAGCACAGAACTGCCGGTGTAAGATGCTGCAGGGAAAGCAAACATGGAGCGACATAACCAAGTGGCGGGCATAGTGTACAGAAACATCTGTGCAGAGTATGGACTGGAGAACCCAGGATTAAGGTGGGAAACACCTACAAAGGTTGTGGAGAACGACCGAGCCAAGATCCTGTAGGACTTCCAGATACAGACTGACAGGATGGTGATGGCGAAACAACCAGACATAGTGGTGGTGGATAAGAAACAGAGCAGAGCCGTGGTGGTCGACATCACAATACCAAGAGATAGTAATATCAGGAAAAAGAACAGGAGAAACTAGAGAAATACCAGAGGCTCAAGGAGGAGCTGGAGAAAGCCTGGAAAGTGAAAGAATCAGTGATGCCTGTGGTGATCGGAGCATTCGGGGCTGTAACCCCCAAACTGGAAGAGGCTACAACAGATACCGGGAAAAACAACGGACATCTCAGTCCAGAAAAGTGCAGTACTGAGGACAGCAAAGATACTGCAGAACTCTCAGGCTCCCAGGCCTCTGGTAGAGGACCCGAGCTGAATGAGGGAGAGAGACCTACCACCGTGGAAGGTGAGACATATATATATATATGTATGTATTTTATTTATGGATAAAATAATCAATATCACCAATTGAAAGAGTAACTGTATTTGAATACAGAACTAGTATTCTGAATACTTAACTTCAGTACATGTACTGTACATTTTGGTCTTCATTACAGAGGTAGCTCTTTTAACTGGACGACATGGAGCACCCTTCTCAATCCGTATGAAGGTGTTTGCCCTGCTTATAATGCATAACATTTAATAAAAAAAATACACAATGGAGTCAGAAAGTCTCACTTTTGGTAAATAAAATGATGTCACTTAAGAGGCTATTCTTTACCCTTCACACAATCTACCCACCTTATTCTGCCCCGCCTACGTTTGTTTCTAAATGCTCCTAAAGCACACTTTTTTGTGGTGACAATTCCGATTAAACGGGGATCCTATTCATATCAGTGGAGAGTTTGGGAAAAGTTTAGCATCTTAAATGACTTTAAGTCGGTCCATTTGTGTAAAATATCACACTGCACTGATTCTGTTTTTTTTTTTTTTTTTTTTTTTTACATGGCTTTATAGTCCTTATTAAACTTATTTGCTGTAAAGATCAGCAGCCCCATATAAAATAAAACAAACTGAACGATGATGGCTGTGTCCACGGCAACTTCCGGAGTAAGGTGAATAATATGCAATTTTCATATAAAGAACATATAATACAGTAGCCAGGCTTTCGCCACCTAGTGCCTATGCTCAATTTCATTTCTCTCCAGGTCCAGGAATCAAAATTCTATAGACGGTTCACAAAAACCCCGGAAGTGCAAGTTTGGGCACCAGCCAACCAATCCGGGTTTTCACAAATGGAAATATGGTCACCCTGCAGTTAGCCCCATTAGCAGCGCATTACATACATACACCAAGTAGCAGTGATTGGTTAAATGATAAAAAGTACCCACCTTCCGTCGAGTGAACACATTCTAACACTGCGAGCTCAGACGGTTTCTACGAAGTGAAACTGGCTGATGAATCAGGCTAGCAATATGGGCCCATCAAGATGATTTGTACTCAGGGCCAGAATTTTGTGCTGCACCCCTCCATATATTACTCTTACGAGCTTTAAGCCAGTTCTCATGCTGTTACCTCATCACAAACATACTGTACCTGTATATGTATTTCATTCACACGTTTGAGTAACTGTTTATTAGACTGTTTATTATTGGTCTGTCTAGTGTTTTTTGTAGCTCTGTTCCACCTTGTTATGTCATGAAATGGTAGTTTTCAAGTTAACAGCTCCTTTGACCTTTTGTTCAATAGAGACTGACAAATCCAGGGCTGAAATGATCCAAATTATGCAAGTGAATGTGAATGGAGTTTACAAACACAGTGGCGAACTTCCTGTATTACCACACGACATCACAAGGATTGTTTTCTGTTTGAGAGATGTGCAGGGTTCGTGCGTTAAACTTGTGTGAATAAAACAAAACACAACTCCAGGTATGTTTGAAATGGGGAAAATAACATAAAGAAAAGGCGTAATACGAGCACTTAAGAGCCGAACTGTGAAACATTCAGGCAAAAAATACGCATGAAAATTCGCTTCGCCTTTTTTTTTTTTTATGTTGTATGGTCCTCTGCGGCCTCCGTGTGATGTCGTGGCGTTGCTGTGCTGTCACTTGTGCGCTCACAGTCCACACTGCACCACTTTAACGGACTTTAACCGCACATCATCAGCACTTTAGCGCCAATACCCCCGCTCCCGTGATCAGCGCCGTGTACCGAGGAGAGCCTCTGCGTGGGAGCCGTGACCGGAGATGAGGCGCGCCAATCTCGGTACGGACACACCAAAGATCGTATAAACACACTGTAGATGGCACGCAGTCGCCGTACGGACACACCGTAGCCCGAACGGATACACCATAGATCATATAAACACACTGTAGACCGCACGGATTCGCCGCACCGACACCTGCTCCATGTTAGCTGCACATTAGCTGCTGTTAGCTCTCCGCTGTAAACCCGTTGAAGTTCCGTTACGCGCTGAAGCCTTTACCTTTGCGGTCATTTTGTTGTGTGGAGTGGACGTGTGGGCAGCCAGTATTTGAAGAATTCTCCCTGTCTTAGTTGGTAGTAGAGGCAGTAACACATAATTGTTACTAAATGTAATTAAATTTAACTCATGTAAAGTCAAAACAAAACTTCTTTTGACGCTGGTCTGGTCTTGGAGCCAAGTCTCGCTAAAGAGTATTCTATAATCATTTGTAATACCGTGGGAAAGCACTTGCATGTGTTGTAATATGGGTTGTAGGATCTAGTCACTCGAAATGACCAGGTTCAACATGTGAGAATATACAAACATAAAACTGACTAATCTAATCAGCAGCCCCCTCTGGGAATATGACATAATCACATGCTGAATCTGGAGAGGATTGAACTCAGGGAAGATGGGGAGTCAATCATTTCTCTTTGTTTTCTAGTAAATCTGTTGTTTTTGCATGAACTCCTGTGCTGTTCATAATTTACTAGTATTTTGTCAGATACATGGTCAGATAGAGACTATTTAGTGTGTGAAAAACATGCAAGAAGATTATGGAAGATGTTTGTGCTTTACAGACGGACATAACAAAAGTTAGATTTTTACACTTGTTCTGCTGTTTTAACATTTCAGCTAATCTGATTCAAGTCATCCCAGATACATAATGTGTAGAACTTACTTCAGAGTGACATACATATCACTCTGTCTTTAGTAAGGTTAACAGTCCTAAGACACACAAACAAAATGTTATTGATTCATTTATTATGAATTATGCCTAAATGCTCTGTGTCCTCTTGGACCCCATCTCTGGTCATCTCATATAGTGGGGTCTGAGTTTTGTATTTGTGAATAGTTCAAAACAAAACTGGTAACAAAGGACTAATGAGTGTGACAGCTAGACCAGGCTGTCCCTCCACACTACTAACCGTGTCTTGTCTTACTGTGTCTCTGCTTACTATGTCTCTGCTCCCCGTGTGTCTCATTGTGTGTGTCTCACTGTCTCTCACTGTGTCTCTGTGGTGTAGGGGACAGCGGATCGGGGCACTATGTGGCCAGTGGCTACAGTGTGTACGAGGAGGAGAATGAGCAGCTCCAGGAGGGACTGAGGGCCAAAGTCAGCGCCCTGAAAAGTGTAAGTGCCCAGGCTCATACTGGTGCTGCTATAGGAGAAGACATCCACTCTGTCTGACCACTGTCCTCTGTCCCCCACAGCTGACCATCGACATAGGCACTGAAGTCAAATACCAGAACAAGATGCTGGAGGACATGGTCAGTGTTTGCCTATTAGACCTGGAGCAGTTTTGAGACAGAACCATTGAACCATAAACGATAACATTAAGGGTGCCACGTGTAACTTTTCTGGTGACGGTGTCGGGGACCGCTATCTCCATAGAGATGTTTTATATATATATATGTAATATAAAAAAATGTTATCAATAAATTGTTACTGATGCTTGCAATATATTGTGCAGTTCTGATGAAAGTAGTAGGAGGTGGATAGCTACAATACTAATAATTTTACAATCAACTCATTTAGTACATTGCTAGAAGTGCTGTAAGAATCTGTGCAATATAGGGGATTTGTAATAGGAATAGGATTCTAAATGTGTGTCACTCTCCGGTCACTGTTAAATGTTTGTACTATATGAGACTGTTCTCGTCTTTGTACATAGTGTGTAAGTAGTATGTGTGTGTGTTTTATAGGTCATTAGCCTGCAGGGGCTCTGCAGATGGAAATGAGCCCAAGGCCAATCTGGCGAATCCACTTTAGTCTAAATGTTCATTTTAATATGCATTGTTCCCATAAAAAAAAAATCGTGAGTTTGCGTGTTGTGCTGACTGTGTGCCTCTGTGCAGGACTCGGACTTTGACTCGACAGGCGGGCTCCTGGGGGCCACCATCGGCCGGGTCAAACAGCTGTCCAGAGGGAGCCAGGGCAAACTGCTGTGCCACATGCTGCTCTTTTGCCTCTTTGTCTTCTTTGTGCTCTACTGGTTTATCCGGCTCAGGTGACCGGCCGAGATAATGGACGTGTGTTTAGAGGCTATGGAGGAGGAGCCATGTACACAGGGCTCATCAGAAAAGACCATATCAGATTAGAACTACTGGCTCAGGAAAGAGCTTTTTATATTTTATATTTAACAGAAACTTTTCTGGTTGAGTGTACGCCACCTGTTGTGTCTCCATGGAGACGTCATTGTCTTGCCTGGAATGTCCCACAGTAGAGCATAAAGGACATTTATTTCCATGGAGAAAACAAGTTTGTTACAGGCAAGATCTGTGGAGAGGGAACCCTGCTCACAGTAATAATGCATGTTTTTCATGGTCCTTTTGTGCAACAATAATATCTCCATGGAGATGAGCTGAACCCCCAGAAAAGTTAGAGTGCTCCTTTAAATGAGTTTTCAGCATAGCCTACACAAGTGCTGCAAACATAAAGAGCCTGCATATTTTCTGATCTGATGTTGTGTTGCTTCCTCATTTAGGCTGAGTTCTCCTCTCAAACAGCAAACCCTGTGTTCCACCTTGTGACATCATGGGATAAAACAGGAAGTGACCCACCATTCTAAACTCCATACACTTTCACTAGAATCATTTGAGTAATTTCAGTCCTGGAATTGCCAAACTTTATTGAACTAAAGGTAAAAGGGGCTTTTAACTTGAAAACTACCACTACATGACATAACAAGGTGGAACAGAGCATTTTAAACTTTGGAAAAGGAACACAACTATATTTGTTTTTGATGAGGTAACATTATAACATGGTTTAAAGCTCACAAAAATCAATTTTGCGTAATATAGGACCTTTAATTGATGCTATTGTTTCCTCTTCAGAAACTAGTTTAATGCTGAAGGCACTAAGACTGGAGTCAATATAAGTAAAGAATGTTCAGCTCCTGACAGTGGTGTTTCTAGTCCTATGTCTGTTCACCTTACACTGTTCTAGTGCTCCACAGGACAGCCACACGTCACAAACCTCTTTTTCAGTTCCATCATTAGTGGTCAACTATTCGTGAGTCTCAGATAGTGTCACAGCATTCTAATAATTAATACAGATGAAGACTACTCAAATAATATTGCTAAGAATAGGGATACACTGATCTAGATTTTATTTCCATCAAAACAGAGTTAACTTAATACAACAGGGGTTTTCAAATTGGGTGAACGTGAGCCTCCCCTTAGACTAGGTAAAGACAGCCGAGCCCCCTCCCTTGTCCAAAATCCCATATGCCGGCCCTCCCCCACACAGGCCTTTGAAGTAAATGCATCTTTTGTGGTTCTGCTTAAAATGTTTTTATTAATGCCAAATAGAATATCCAGCACAAATTATATATGTTAGGTCATGGTAGGTGATAGGTAATCATTTGTATATTTGACTTTACACTCATTCCACCTGCCCGCTCCCGCATCGTGCAGTGCCGCTCCTGCCCGCGCCCACAATGAGCTTTCAGAATTTGTCCTGCGCTGCACTGTTTTGCGTCGGGACCCGCGGGAGAGCAGTGTTCTACCCTGAGACCGTGGAGTAGGTTGGCCACAAAGCGCGATCGGGCGACTACTGCGCTTGGCTCAGTGAAGCGCGGAGCTTTGTGCCGGTCCTTTCGCCCGTGGTCACCCGACGGTCTACGCAGGCGCACCTCCGGGCCCGTCCTGACACTCAGTCCTGGTTTAGTCCGCCTGTGTCGCACTATCCCAGTGGCTCTTTGGCTCACCTATTGAAAACCGCTGTACTATAAAATATAACACATAAATAGTCTTACATCCAAAAGTCCCAACCAAGATATAGACTGAACTGATATCATGGAACCTATAGCCAGTCCAGCAAATTTTCCAGAATCTGCGCCAATATTTGATACCAGTATTGTACTGGTGCATGCCTAGTAAAAATGCAGATATGCTGTAAGATATTGAGTTCCATGGTCTGCTCTCTAATAGATATATGTATTTTTTAAATCAAATAATCGTAGTATTTATCTTGACAGGCCTATCTTGCCCCTTTGTGGGTCTATGACATTACTGTCTAAAAACTGTGAACCACCAATGCAATAATATTTTTACCTTAAAATACCCAAGAAGGTAGTGTTCTGTATGTCAAACTGCAAGCTATTTTTTCCAAAATAAAACCTATTTCAGAAGATTCCCTGGCACCACGGCACAGGTGGTGAACAGGATACAGGAGACGTGTCCAGTGCCCACGCAGCTGCCACCTCAGCCTCTTTTCTTACTTCTACTACTTTTGTGTACTGGAGTTTGGACTTTTCACTCTCAGCTGTAAATGGAATAGAACTACTATTCAATGGTTAAAATATGCATATGTCATGATAAATGTTTATAACCATTAAATCTTTATTTTACAAACATGTTGTGTTGTATACATCCACGTGAAGCTGAAAGCTGTCATTTGTATTCTGTAAATCACTTCCTGAGGTTAGGCTGGGCTCCATCAACACTAAAAAGTACTGTGCATAAAGGTTGTACAGTAGTGCAGCAACTAACCTGTCGACTAGTCAAGGATTATTTGGACATTTTAAATAAATTATCACACAAATAAAGGTTGATTGATATATGTTGACTGAAGGCTTCTACATAGACAGTATTTACTAATATATTTTTTATAGTGAACTAGTAATGGGTAGATTAACTGTGCAACAAGGCTGCAAAAATTATTATTTTTTTCAACATTTTGAATGTTTATTAAGTTATGGTGTACAGTTTTACATCATGTGTGGGAGCACATAGGCCTGTGCATTGCACAGAATCGTACAGCTAACCATATGGAGCGTTTGAATAGTGAGAGGAGAGATCGCTAGATTACACAAACCTTCAGCATTAAAAAAAACAAAAATAGGTGCACGTACAGTTATGGTAACAGAGGCATAACATCTAAAACGTCCAAAATCTCTCCAGGCATGTTTTTGATGAGGGAACAATGTCACTGCAAATTTCTCTGATTTAAAACAAAGATTTAAAACTCAGAACTAGTAAGTAGATAATACATCTGAAAACAAGATATGAGACTAGTTATTTCTAGTCTAGAGGTAGTTTATTTTAAGAGAACTTGTCAAGTAAAAATATTTTGCTGTGTGAACAGATCATTTCACTACTTTTAAGTCATTATCTGATAAATTAAGAGATAAATCTTGGTCAAGCTTTTTTAGAGTATATAAAATGGTAGATTGAATTTTGCATAATACCTGCTCTTTAACACAAATCAGGTTTTATTTACCTTGTAACAAGTCCTGATGAATTTCATGAGTGATGAAGTGATGAATTTCCCTTCTTTGGTGTTTAAATGCCAATGATTAAAAGTTTTGTTTATGTTCAAGATATACGCATGAAACATTTTATTTGTTTTAATAAGGACAAATCAAATCTGGATAATCTGGATTGTTCAATATGCGCACACAACTCTGATAGTTTTGGGCAGATTGCTCAGCCCCAGTGAGTAGTTTCAAAGCTATTTCCAAAATATTACCCAGCCCTATTCATGACGGACTCAGTCTCATGTTTTAGCACCGGTGAATCATACAACAGCTCCAGGGATTTTTTTTTTATCTGAGTCTTCAAAATTAGTCAATAAAAATCATCAAAGTTACGAAGTGCACTTGCGTTGGCAGCTGACCCAAGGCTGACGCCTGACTGTCCTGGTCACTTCTTAGGCAGAGTGTCCATGTACTTGCAGATGATTCCCAGCATGACCTCATCGGCCCCTCCTCCTATGGACATCAGTCGAGCATCTCTGTGGACATAAATACATAATCACTCAATTGGTTTGGAAACATTTTCTGACAAGTATTGCAATTACACAATGAAAATACAGTGTATATTTTTTCCCAAATGTTAGTATTAACATTTGAAAGAAGACTCAAATCTGACCTGCTAAACTAATCCAAGAATCCCGTGCATTTCAGAACTTGTTTCTAGAGGTCTAAGGTACAGGGTTAGTACCTTTTACACAAAATATGACACCATGGACACACAGTGAGGGCATCTGACACAAAGGGACACTGCAGAACATGTTTACAGAGGTCTATGTATATACAGAATACAGGGTTAGGAGCTTTTACACTGAGTAAGACTCCATGGAGACACAGGGAGGGCATCTGACACACAGCTACACATTATACATTAAACTGGAGCTTATACATTCTGCTGCTATTAAAATTGCAATTTTGCTTCGACTGTGATAAAGCCCTTTTCTCCATCACACTCTCCGTTTCACAGAGATCAATTGTTTTTTTTTTTTATAACTTTGTTATTAAAATGGACCTATTGTCAGATAATTATATGGCCAAAACAAGTACAATAGGACTGCTTTAAAATGTAAAAATTTATTTGTATTAGTCATGATCTTCATCATCAGTCTTTCATTGGTCATTGGTGTTTTTTTTTATTATTTATTGGACACAGTTTACTAGGAAAACAAGTTATTTGCATTTTAGTTGTAATTTAAGGCCACAGTATGCAACAATTTGCCAAAAATAGATTAAAATAAAAGGCATATTTTTCATGGTTTTATACTTATGTTAGTTGCACAGACGTGTCCTTACTCTTATTTGCCTGAGGAGGGGCTCTTCCTGCTTATTTCCATGGCTTTGGCTGTAATATTCCAGAGTATGGCATAAAACTATTCTATTCCATGGAAATGCAGGTGACTTTCCACCTCCAGTTTACTCTATATCAAAATATTGTAGTATTATACTTAGCACAATATTAAAGAGGGGGTATTTTACATCTGTGGGTTACAAACTGCTAATGCATAACATATTTATGTAAATCACCTGTTGCTCTTTTATTGCACAGCATATGAACATGTTTAAATGTTTGATGACAAAACAATGTCAGAACATAGTAGAAAGTTTCAAAAATGGATTTGAACACAATTATCTTTTTCTTACAGTATATGATGCAGTTCCTTTGAATCCAGAGCTGTGCCAACACTGACCTGTAGAAGCGACTGACCAGGACATCGCTGGTGTAGCCCATCCCTCCCCAGAACTGCAGGCAGCTGTCGGCCACCTCTCGGGCCAGCCGCCCTCCCTTCAGTTTAGCCATGGACGCCAGCTTGGTCACGTCGTTGCCCTTCAGGTACAGGGCTGTGGAAAGCAAACACAACAATGGCACGTGACCATACCGGCTTGTCAAAAACCTGATCCCATCAGATCTCGAGAGGCTCAGCAGGGCCAGACCTGGTCAGTACTTGGATGGGAGACCACTGGGAAAATCAGGTGCCACAGGGGGTGCCAGTGGCAAAAACTGTTGTTGTGCCCTTAGGCAAGGCACTTCACCCACATTGCCTAGTATGAAAGTGGTGTGTGTGTGAGTGATGGTGGTGGACAGCTGTAGCTACAATAGTAGCTTACACCACAAAATGTGAGGTGAATGAATAATGCTGTGTAAACCGTCTTTGAGTGTCCAGAAAAGCACTATATAAATCTGATGCACTGGAACTTAAAAAAAATAAATAAATACAAAATTGCAACTCATCATTTTTGTTAGATTTAATCGAGAAATGATTAATATTGTGGCTAGAAAGTTTTGAGTCCAACTGAAAACAACCATGCCACCACTTTTTATTGAAAATATTATTTCACCTTAGACTATGAACTTTATGCAACAATAGTAGTAGTTTACTGGAGTCAAAGTTTAGACGCAACAGACTATACATTTTAACAAAGGCATATACTCTGGAACCGGCACCCCTCTGTCCAATTACCAGTGGGACAGGCTGATAAACAAATCAGAGAAACACATGGTCCACCCATGTCAAAACAAACATCGTGTCTCTGAGTGAAAAAACACAACTCTAACATAGAAAGTGTCATTTTGATCTATATGTTTATAGGACATTTCAGAGATTTCAGACATTTCAGTCTTCTGCATATGAGAGATGTGCTACAAAACAAGCGAGTCTTGAGGGCAAAAGAAGTCTGCTGTGTACTGTCTGCATCTATCGTGAAGTGTTTTGTTTTCTGGTAAACAAGTGCGTGTTAGCATTCAAGTTGTTAGCATTATGAAATGGGGAAACTCCACTCTGGCCTCTGAAAGTTGTGAAAGGGAAGGTGCCTGAGGGAATCGTACCCACAGCTCTGTAGAAGAGCGAGCGCAGCAGCTCCACCTCGGTGTGCAGCTCGGCCAGCCTGAAGTGCACGGCCTGATGAGAGAGCACAGGATGACCGAACACCTTCCTCTGCTGCGTGTACGCCACCGTCTCCTGGATGACATTGTCCATGGCGGTCATGACTGAAGCACAGGAGAACAGAGAGAGCAGCAGCTCATGTTTATTCAAAACACTGTTCTGTACTGTACTGTAGACCAGCATGCATTCACTTCATTCTGACTCCCAAATGAGCCACCGCTGACACTGGGCTGTATGCAGTCAGTGACTCTAACCCACAGACTGTACAGTGGAGGAAAGTATTTGGTCCCTTGCTGATTTTGTAGGTTTGCCCACTGACAAGAAATAAACTGTGTATAATTGTAATGGTAGGTTTATTTTAACATTGAGAGATAGAATATCAAAAAGAAAATCCAGAAAATCACATTATAGAAAATATATTAACTGATTTGCATTTTATTGCGTGAAAAAAGTATTTGATCCCCGTCCAACTATTAAGAGTTCTGGCTCCCACAAACCAGTTACACACTCGTCACCTGAATTAGACTTCCATTTTAACAGGAGTCACCTGTATAAAAGACCTGTCCACAGAATCAATCAATTAGACTAAACTCTCCAACATGAGAAAGACCAAAGAGCTGTCAAAGGATGTCAGGGTGACTGTAGACCTGCACAAGACTGGAATGAGCTACAAAATCATAAGCAAAAAGCTGGTGTTAAGGAGACAACTGTTGGTGCAATTGTTCGACATCAGTCGATGTCGGTCTGGGGCTCCACACCTTGTGGGGTTTCAATGATCATGAGAACAGTGAGAAATCAGCCTAAAACTACACAGGAGGAGCAAGCCAGTGATCTCAAGGCAGCTGGAACCACAGTCACTAAGAAAACAAATGGTAACACTTTATGCCACAATGGATCCTGCAGCGCTCACTAGGTCCCCCTGCTTAAGAAGGCACATGTGCAGGCCTGCCTATAGTTTGCCAATGGACACTTGAATGATTTAGAGGGGGACTGGTAGAAGATGCTGTAGTCATATGAGACCAAAATCAAGCTCTTTGGCATTAACTCAACTCGCTGTGTTTGGAGGAAGAGAAATGCTGCCTATGACCCAAGAACACCATCCCCACCATCAAGCATGGAGGTGGAAACATTCTGCTTTGGGAGTGTTTTTTTTTTTTGCCAAGGGCACAGGACAACTTCACTGTGTCAACGGGAGGATGGAAGGAGCCATGTACTTAAAAAACTTAAATGACAACTTCCTTCCCTCCATCAGTAAAATGAAAATGGATCGTGGACGAGTCTTCAACATGACAGTGATCCAAAACATACATCCAAGTCAACAAAGGAGAGGCTCAAGAAGCACATTAAGGTCATGGAGTGACCCATCCACTCTCTGGATTTTAACCCTATAGAAAACCTATGGAGGGAGCTGAAACTCCGAGGTGGCAAGCGACAGAGATGGAACCTTAATGATTTAGAGATGATATGCAAAGAAGAGTGGAACAAAATTCCAACCTGGTCTACAAGAAACACCTGACCTCTGTGTTTGCAAACAAGGGCTTTACCACCAAGTCTTTTTCAAATACTTATTTCACTCAATGAAATGCAAATCAGTTTAGATATTTTCTGGATTTTCTTTTTGATAATCTATCTCTCAATGTTAAAATAAACCTACCATTAAAATTATAGACTGTTCATTTCTTTGTCATTGGGCAAACCTACAAAATCAGCAAGGGATCATTGTCCATTGTGGTGCACAAATTGTCTGCTAATAGTCAGCACTTAGCAGTTATTTTTTACCTGAATTATACTTAAATCAGCATGTGTGCTTTTCATATTATTATTATCCTATGGTGAGGGACGTCGAGATGAATTCACACATATATACTAGTATACTATACTATAATATACTAGTAATTGTAAGAAACAAAAACATTTTGAAGTAATTAAGTCATTTCAATCTGAATGTTACTTTTTCACAGAGAAAAACAATCTTGGACAATGATTATGGCCTAAATCTAGTCAGCATTTGTTCAGGAAGGACTCACTGTAAACCCCAAAGAACTTACTGTTGGCCACAGCCCAGAGACGCTCTTCCTGAAACTGGAGCATCTGATAGGTGAAGCCCAGGCCCTCCTGACCAATCACGTTAGAGCAAGGCACACGGACATCATCCAAGAACACCTCCGCCGTGTCTGATGACCACATGCCCATTTTACTGATGGAGCGGGCAATGTGTACCCCTAGAACACAACATACACACTGTTACACACCCGTAGCACAACATACACACTGTTACACACCCGTAGCACAACATACACACTGTTACACACCTGTAACACGACATACACACTGTTACACACCCGTAGCACGACATACACACTGTTACACACCTGTAACACGACATACACACTGTTACACACCTATAACACGACATACACACTGTTACACACCCGTAACACGACATACACACTGTTACACACCCGTAGCACGACATACACACTGTTACACACCCGTAACACGACATACACACTGTTACACACCCGTAACACAACATACACACTGTTACACACCCGTAACACGACATACACACTGTTACACACCCGTAGCACGACATACACACTGTTACACACCCGTAACACAACATACACACTGTTACACACCCGTAACACAACATACACACTGTTACACACCCGTAACACAACATACACACTGTTACACACCCGTAACACAACATACACACTGTTACACACCCGTAACACAACATACACACCTGGCAGGTTCATGGGCAGGCAGATGAGGGACTTGTTCTTGTGGGGTGGCCCGTCACTGGTATTGGCGAGCAGACACATCCAGTCTGCCTGGGTGCCGTTTGTGGTCCACATTTTGCCTCCGTTGATGACGTACTCGTCTCCTTTCCTCACAGCTTTTGTCCTGATGCCTGAAACACAGGGACAACTCATGTATTGTAATGACCACTTTTGACCAGCCCATTTTTATGTAAAAGTTGTCTTTTTACAGGTTACACATGGAATGTCACCTTCATAACATTTTTGTATATACTCATGCTTAATAAATGATGTCTCAGATCGACAGAGAGGCGACCCCACTCATTTTAAAAATACACATTTTCTAGGTACTTTTGAGCAATAAAAACACTTGTAATGAAATAAATGTTTAGTACAGTACTATACAGTGGAACATTTCAGCTGAAGTAATAATATCTCCATGGAGACAAGCAGGTAATGGACCTTCCATCACTAAAGTTACGCAGTGCACATTTACAGGAAAGATATAATGCAAACTTTGACCTGAAATTGAGCTAGTGTAAATTCAGCTTCAGTGCTTCTGGAGTTTATCTGCTATTCAGTCTTCTGTGTTTCAACTCCACTGCCCAGCCTGCCCAGTTAAACCTCCATTTCAGATGCATGGCTCCTTCAGTTTGTGCAGGGGAGGCATCCCTTATTGTCAATGACATAACCCCCACTATTTCAAATTAGTTCTTGTTAAAATGTCTAATGCCAGTGTGTTGCAATTACAGCATGTCTAAGACCTACTGGACACATCGGAGCCAGCTCCACCCTCGCTCACGCCCAGGCAGGCCACCTTGTCCCCCAGGACAGACGGCAGCAGAAACTCCTTCTTCAGGGCCTCAGAGCCAAACCTGATCAAAACACAGAGGTGACATGTGGTCAAATCGGTCTATGTGCTCTTATACTTGTTATGATATGGTTCAAGATCATTCTAAAGCTATTCAGGAAAGGTTCTGTCCTGTGAATGGAACTGTTAGTATTGATACCTGCTCAAATGAATATTTAGTTTCAACATTAGTTAGTTAGTATCGATTCCTATCTGATTTTCCATACTTTTGACAACCTTAATTTGTACAGTTGTAATTAACTCAAAAATGCTGCAAGGTAATGTCCTCTACAGAGAGCAGAATCTCCCTACAAGTTCTGGGGAGGTTCAGTTATAGAAAATGTTATATTTAATAGTGATTTTCTGACAGACATTGGGATTAGGTGGTGATATGTTTTAAAGACAGATGCTTGTACCTGGCCAAGGCGGGTGTAGCCATATCGGTTTGTACCCCAATCGCCATGGGAACGCCTCCACAGCGGATGTGTCCGAGCTCCTCTGAAACAGCCATACTGTAGCTGAAGTCCAGCCCAAGCCCTCCATACTCTGCACACAACACACACACACGTCAACCCCCCAAGTCACCATACACACAAACAGCACACACATACATCAACACACAAGGTAAACAAAAGAGACTTCCTGGTAAAATGGAGATTAAATTATTATTATTATTATTTAAATTATTTTATTAAAGTGCATAATTTATAAATGCAGGGAATATCATTCCGACAGTCCCTCCTTCCTCCTGCGTAGTAGAGTGGAAACAAATGATAAGTAAGTAAGTAAGTAATCGGATAATGGTCTGATCTTAAACTATAGACTCCAAACATGTGCTGAGAGAGGATGATTCATGACTCAGGCAGAGCAGGTACAATAAATAACACAGAAAATGCGTAAACATGGTGTCTTTAAGTGCACTCAGTCAGGATGTCTCATATTCATGGTCCTCATAATTAAACAGTGAATCCAGTTAAAGAACATAATGGCCAGATTCAGTGGTTAGCAACTTAATCATTAGGACACAAAGTGGACTGAGAAAAAAACAACAGCCAATCATTGAGGAAGAGGACAACAGTCTTACCACCTCAGTTACTTGTTTTATTGACCTTTATTTAACCAGGATAGTCCCACTGATATTAAGAATCTCTTTTTCACAGGAGTCCTGGCCCAGGGGTCCCTATTGTACATGTTTTTTGTAGTAAGGGAAAACACAGCCATTGGAGAACATGCAAACTTCACACAGAAAGGCTCCATGCCACCCCAAAATCCAACCCAGGACCTTCCTGCTGTGAAGTGAGAGCGCTACCCACTTTTTATATTCCAAAAATCATGTTACTGAAATAAGCAGCTGAATACAGTAGTGTGGAGCTGAAGGTTTGGACATTGTTTCATTGAGCTGGTTTGAGCTGCGTGTACAGAGCAGTGCTATTTTCCTGTTGTGGATTATCTGACATGGCTTAAAACAGCATTATTCAAAGTGCTCAGACCCCACTATTGCTAATGGACTGTAACAGGTATGAATATAGTTTCAACAAATGATTTCTTGTCATCTTTTTGTGTCCCTGGCTTTTATCTAGACCACACTTTAGCTGTCGGTTTGAGAAAAGCAGCCAGTAAAATTCCACTGTTCACCTCTTTGATGAGGACTCAAACTGTGACTCGAAATGCAGCTCAAATTTCTATGACACCACAAAAACATGGGGAAGTGAACATGAAGCAGAACCCTGTGTGCCCCCCCCCCACACACACACACGCACACACCTAGGCATGCACATGTACCCACGCACACACACACACGTATGCACATGTAGACACACATACACACAAGCACATGCACATGTGCACATGCGCACACACACACACTTACACATGCACATGTATGCACATGTATGCACATCCACCCACACACAGACACACACACACACACTTACGCATGCACATGTACACACACACACGTATGCACATGTAGACACGCATACACACAAGCACATGCACATGTGCACATGCGCACACACACACTTACACATGCACATGTATGCACATCCACCCACACACAGACACACACACACTTACGCATGCACATGTACACACACACACACACGCATGCACATGTACGCACGCACATGTACACACGCACACGTATGCACATGTACGCACGCACATGTACACACGCACACGTATGCACATGTACGCACGCACATGTACACACACACACGTATGCACATGTACGCATGCACATGTACACACGCACACTGTACTTTTCTTTGAATGGTCCATCACCCTCTTTGCACAAAATTAAAGAACCTTATAGCATTACGGATTTTTGCAGAATCAAAATATAGATAGCTTTTTTTAGCTTATCTGTGTTTTATTGAATTTATTATTGATGTGAAATGTACTGTACCTCTAACAATTGTTTAACACAAACCTCCTACATATTTAGGCTGAGTTCTTCTCTCAAACAGAAACCACTCTGTTGCACCTTGTGATGTCAGGTGGTAAAACAGGAAGTGCCCCACGGTGTTTTGAAACTCCATACATTCACTAGAATCATTTGGATAATGTCAGCCCTGGAACTGCAATTCCCTATTCCTTTTTAAACAAAAGGAGCTGTTAACTTGAAAACTACCACTTCCAGACATCACGGGTGGAAAAGAGCATTTTAGAGGGGGTAACAACATTCAAACATATTCTAACACAGTAGGCAATTTTACCTAATAGGACCTTTGACCTATTTTAACCAGATCTGAACTTCAGACCATGTTGTTGATCTAATAACAAAGGATTTACAGTTGTGTTCAAAATAATAGCAGTGTTTTTTAGAACGTGAGCAAAGCTCAAAATCCTTATAATATTTTTTTATTTGGGAACACTGCACATTATTTTCAGGATGATGTGACAACCTTCCACAATTCTTCTGCATTTCCGGTTTTGCCTCAGAATCAGCCTTGATGATGTCACCCCACAAGTTTTCTATTGGATTAAGGTCCAGGGATTGGGCTGTTCACTCCATAACCATAATTTTGCTGGTCTGGAACCAAGATGCTGCTCATATTGGTGTGTTTGGGGTTGTCTTGTTGAAATACCCATTTCAAGGACTTTTCCTTTTCAGCATGAGGCAGCACGACCACTTCAAGTATTCTGATATAAGCAAATTGGTCCATGATCCCTGGTAGGCCCAACACCTTCATAAGAGAAACAGCCCCTTATCATGATGCTAGCACCAACAGGCTTCACGCTCTTCAGAGTGAACTGTGGCTTGAATTCAGTGTTTGGAGGTCATCTGACAAACTGTCTGCGGCCCTTGCACCCAAAAAGAACAATCTTACTTCCATCAGTCCACAAAATGTTTCTCCATTTCTCTTTAGACCAGTCGATATGTTCTTTGGCAAATTGTATCCGCTTCAGCACATGTTTTTTTTTTTTTTTAAACTGTGGGACTTTGCGGGGGCTTCGTGTCAATAGATTAGCCTCACAAAAGTGTCTTCTAAACGTCACAGTACTCACAGGTAACTTCAGAATTTCTCTGATCTCCCTGGAGCTGATCACTGGTTAAGTCTTTGCCATCCTGGCTTTTGTTCGATCCATTCGAATGGTAGACTTCTGTTTTCTTCCACATCTCTCTGGTTTGTCTCTCCATTGTATAGCACTGGAGATCATTTTAGCTGAGCAGCCTTTCATTTTCTGCATTTCTTTATATGTTTTCCTCTCTCCAATCAACGGTTTAATTAAAGCCTGCTGTTCTTCTGAGCAGTGTCTGGCATAACCCATCTTTCTCAGGTTTTCAGAGAACTGCATGTGTTGGCTTCATCCTTAAATAAGGGCCACTTGAATAACACCACTGCTGTTATTTTGAACACGCCCCTTTCCCTTAATTATTCAATTACGCAGACTCAGGAGCGTTCATATCATGAATGTTGGGTGTGTTGGTTTCTCTGACTCTACTACACGTACTTGTAAATTATTTGCCATGTAATAACATGATTTATACCAAAAACAGTGATTGATCTGATTAGTCATGTTGGACTGCTATTATATTGAACACAACTGTATGTCATGGGCAGTGGCGGCTGGGGGTATAATTTTTTTGTGGGGGTGCCAAGGCCAAAATTATAAATGTATATTATTAATATATGTATTATATATAGGCTATATAATATTATAACGAAACAGAAACAGACAGTCATTTTGGTCACTACTGGCTGAACTATCAGAGCACAACACACAGCCAAGTGCAGTTTTACGCAAGTGTACCCAAGTTTACGCAACAGCACAACCTGATCCACAGCTTACGGCCAGCACCAACATCAGCAAAACTACAATAAGATAAGAGGCTACGGTCACAACATGAACACACAGCATCAGCGCCACTCTTATAGCATACGACAGAACAACTGGAGCAGCTCCACCGCACCCACCAGCTCATTTACGCACTATTTAACTATAACACTACAACACTATTTAACTATTAACACTATAACACTATTTAACTATTAACACTATACACTATTTACCTGTGAGGCTCCATCTTCAGATTTGCCCCAAACTAATCTAAACAAGCCTCTTACCTTCTCCAGAGACTGAAGCAGAGCGTTTCCTCTATCCACTGTCCCACTGATTCTCTTTCCAAAAGTGTATTGTCCAATACGAAGAGATCAAATTGGTCCAAATCCTGGTCCAGTGAGGTCCATAACGCCAGGTCCGTAATGCGAAGTCCAGGATGCGAGGTCTGGGACGTGAGGTTCGGGAGCCGAATGCACGAGCTGTAAAACTAGTCTTAATCCCACTTAAATCTGAAAGTTACACCAGTCCATATTAGCAGTAGGACACCAGGTGGACTTAAACCCTCTGTGTGCTACACTCAGGTGAAACTTTTACACTGAGAAACAAGCGGGCAAAGGCGGATAGAGCAGCAAGCGACTGCCCCGGCCCTAAGCCCTGAGATGTATTTTAGGGCTAATGTAAAGTCATGGGCAGAAGCAACGTAATGATGTCACATTTTCTCAAAACTTAAGGCTCTTCCATAGACCTCCATTAAGTCACTCTGACTCACCGCACTCATATCCACTTAACTCAAATAAATAACATGATAAAAATATGTCTATGCAGATACATGTTCAATTTTAAACAAAATATTAAACATATAGCCTAATACAAAATAACGACTTTATCTTTTTTTTTTTTTTCTTTTTTTTTAATCAAGGTCAAGTTAGGGAGTGCGGCGCACTTGCGCCCTCTATTGACCAGCCGCCACTGGTCATGGACCAGATTTTTTTCCCCATAAGGTCGACGGGTTCCCATGATGTCTGTGTGTATACAGATTTTGGTCTCTGCAATGTGATAAACACCCATCTACTCTCACCCACACAAACACACACTGACACACAAACACAGTTACACACACAAAGACACACACATTCACACATAAAGAGACACACACTCACAAATGGAATACTGGCTTGAGCGTTCCCATGGCTTGAAAGTCCCTATGCGAGCATCCCATTTTCTCGGCGGGAACATCCCCCTCCTCTTTCCAGGTGCCC